TAAAAAAAAAGAAGTTGAAAAGTAAAATATTTACAAGAATCTATTTTTAAATAAAATTCTGAGACATAAACATTAAATTAAGTATGAATTTTTCATTCAAAACGAAAACCGCTTATAAAAAATACAAGAGCGGTGTGAAGATAGAAGTGAATAAGAAAGAAATTTTTAACTAGAATAGAACCATCATTTTCCTACTCAATCAACGTAATAGGGTTGCACGCTGTAGCAAGATGTGACGCATAGATCGGTTGGGTTACCATATTCTTAATTTTGCGGTCTTCAGAGAGCTTATTCTCGACCGCGCCAAGCGGTGCCGAAACCGTGAGCATTTCCGTGAGTGCGTCCCGCAGTGGACTGATCGTTAAGACACGGTTCCCAGTAAAACACCGAAGTCAAGCATCACTGACTGCGGTCAGTGTGCGGGTGGCTGACCACTTGGATCAGTCTACGTAGGGACCGAGGGTGTGCGGTATTGGTCCTCGTTAAACTGTTCTACCGTAAAGTGCTCGACTTTGAGTGCAGGTCGTTGGGCTACAGAAGCAGGGGTACCATCTCCTCAGCAGAGGATCAAAATTGTGATGGCATGTCTTCGGATCATCCTCAGGGATGTTTCCCAGACCGTCACCAATAGCCCATTATGCAGCTCTAGTGCGACGTAAATGAACTACAACAACAGTTTAACGAGGACCGATACCGTGCACCCATCGGTACCTACTCAGGCTGATCGAAACGGTCACCCACCCGCTTACTGACCGCAGCCAGTGATGCTTGACTTCGGTGTTCTACTGGGATCTGTGTCTTTACGATCAGTCCGTTGCGGGACAGATAAAGTATGAATATATTAAATTCTTCATTATTTTTTTAATTGCTTGAAAACGAAAGATTTTGAGAGAATGATTTTGCAGGATAACAATCATAATTGACATCACTTATTTTTCAATTTTTATGTAAAGAATATAACATTTAATTAAGCATTCAATTTAAGGTGCAAGTGATAGGTAAAATTTATTTTTACGCTTATGAGTTATTTTCATCAAAATAGATATGGAAAAAAAAACGCTACCAATAAATTTTTTTGGTCATTCTGTATATTTTCAATGACTTAAAATGCATATTTTTAGAGGAGCATCATAACAAAATTATAAAAAAAAATATAAAATGGAACTAAAAGTTGTTAATTATTTATTAATTTGCATTATTGTTTTTTTAAGGTGTAATAGAAATTTATTTATTTTGTGTGTGTATGTGTTGCAAAGAAGGCGGTGATCCACATAATGTTGGGAGCCTTATGTGGATCACCTAATCTAAAACAAAAGAAGTTTTGCATGTGACTTGTTTGATTTTATTTTATAACCAACTTTGATCAACTGATCCATTTTTTGGGTTTACAACCCTCAATTTGAGCTTCTTAACCTTGTAATTTTAAATTAAATCCAGAAGACAATGAAACTCCTGGATCAAGCAATCGGAAAAACTAGTCCTGGTGGAGGTCTTTTTGATAAAACTCACCCGCATTTACTCTAGGTTAACGAGCCATGGTTAACCCGACGGTAACGGGATTCAAACCCATATTTAGTCTAGCATTGAGGATATTTTTATGTCAATGTGGTCGATGCAATGTGGGAACAGATTTCATATCAACCAGCTATCGCTGGGATTCGAACCTGCTTTAACTCATCGGGAGACAAACACTCTATCTCCTAAGCTACCACGGTTTGTGTTTTGTTTAACCGATCTCCAGTCCGTCGCCATGATCGAACCTATAACCCTAGTTTCAACTGGAATTTTGGGCTGTGCTAGACCCAGCAGCGCACTAGACAGCAACCTATTTCGATTATCTTGGTGTCACTCCTCTTGATATTGCTAACTCAGATGTAATTTGCTAAGATTTAGGAACAATTCCAATCAAGCGCGTGGTAAACATTACTTTTCATTGAAACAAAATTAATTAAAACTGTTTTTTTTTTTTGGGGGGGAGACTGTTAGACATTTAAAGAAGTATGCATACTCTGAGATTTAAATCGTTTTGTACAAGACTTTCTTTAAAGCAGGGACTGTATAATTGAGAAAATAATGACACTTTTTCAGCAATAAAAAATATAAATTGGAAAAAAATTTAAAACAGGAATTACATTATTAAATCAATTTACTTAATTTCCATTTTCTTCGTATTTTTATTATTATTATTTATTTGTTGCTTTATTTATTCATTTCAGTTCCTTATTCTATCGGTTTGGATTTCATTTCCCTATAAAATAGATTTTTCTCCTCTTAATTCACGAAAGATATCTCCAATCTAGACAATTAAGGAATAACAACTGCTATAGTGCAAAAGAAAAGTAAATTATACTTCACTATAGAAATTTTATCTGTGATTAAGTTTAAACTGATTTAATTAAGTTTCTGCCGATTATTTAATTAAGTAAGCATTTAAATTGAGTGAACTAAACATTTAGTAAATGACGTAAAGAGGTATTTAATTAAATTATCTCTTTAAAATTAATTAAATATTTTTGAAATTGAAATGGAAATCTATTATATTACGAAGTATACTCATTAGATTTTATTAAATAAGTAGTAATTTAAATTACTGATATCAATGGCAAATAGTTGTAACCCTTTTTAAAAAATATCGTCATTCCATTTAAATTAATAGGCCTGTGCATTAAATTAAAAAATGTAATTTATCTTTACGTAATAAAATATTTCAATCTTAATCACTCAACAAACAACTAAAATCCTCATTTTGCAATATCATCGATCCTCGAAACTCTTAAATTAAATTAGCGGAGATGGGTTTTACTAGCGAAAACGAAGTTTTCTTTGCATTTCAAAAGGGTATTTTGTGAGAGAAGCTTTTAGAAACTCTTCATTAATCCCTTAAGCAATTTAAAAGATCCGCGTATTCTTCCTCCGCGACCATGCCAAAAGATCTTTAAAAATGAAGGCGCGCTTTAAATTCATTAACGAACTGAAGAAAATACTTTATTCAAGAAAATATAAAGGAAAATGTCCCATCAAATAAGATAAGAAATATAGAGGCTTTTCTTATTTCTTTTTTTTTTTTTCGAATGAAGCACATGTTCAGTTATTTTCTTTATTTAGGTAGTTATTTCAATAAAAGTTTCCAGAAGTAAAAAAATCTGAAGTTTGCCTATACCTACCTAAAGTGAATATGACTAAAATTTTATGCATACATTTTATTATAACTTCGTATAAATTTTGATTAAAATATTTCAATACAATAATTTTTGAGTCGTAGTGTTTCAGGAGGTAGAGTGCTCTCCTCCCCATGAGGTGCCCGGGTTCGAATCCCAGAGATGGCCGGTCGATACGAATTCCGCACCCGATTTGTACCAACCACAGTGCTGACGTGAGTTTGAGCCCCCTTGCCGTCAGGCTAACCGTGGGAGGTTTCCCTCTCCGTGTAACGCAAATGATAGTTCGTTCCATCAAAAAGTCCTCCTCAAAGGCAAAATTTCTCCCACTACTTGATCCAGAAGTTCCCTCGTCTTCTGGATTGGGTTTAAAATTGCAAGGCTACGGAGTTAAACATTGGTCGTAAACTCGAAATTGGATCAGCAGTTCAACGACGGTTATAAAGTGAAATATAATAATTTTTTATGTCTGTACTTAGGTAGCGCAACTTCTTTTCTTTCTTCATAGAACATTTGTACAGTTATCTTTTAAATTAATTTCAATAAAAGTTCTTAAAGATAAAAAATATCTGTAGATGGCTCATAACTATCTAAAGTGTAAATGATTAAGAAAAATTATAAACTTTTTTATAACTTTCACTAAATTGTAATTTAAATATTTCAATAAAATAATTTCAACTTTTTTTAATCGATGAATTTACGTAGTACAAATACTTTTTCACGGCACAGTTGTATATTGCATAGTTATCTTTTTAGTTAGTTATTTCAATAAAAGTTTTCAAAAATAAAAGAATCTGAAATTGGCTCATAATTTTTTAAAGTATAAATGACTAAAATTTTATCAAGCAACTTTATTATAACTCTGAATAAACTGTGATTTAAATATATCATAATAATTTCGATGTTTTTTTTTCCCTTCAATGAACCTTAAATTATGTTTCATGATCACAAAATCAAAAGCTTTTTTCAATAAAATGAACTCTCTGTACAATTTTTACACATATTCGTAGTTTCAAGTCTTTAATTCTTAAATTTTTGAGCAACAAAACAAAATGTAACGTAAAGTTGAACACCTAAGACAATGTATGCTTATAGCTTTTTTAATATATAGAGAACTAAAAATATTTTTTATAACAAAATATCAGAATTCACTGCAGATTTTGCTGTCTAACCAAACTTATCAGCTTTGTATGCAAAATATGTATTGTTCTACTAAATTACATAAGGAATAAGAAATTTAGCAAAAAAATAATTTACATACTTTTTGAAATGCGATAATTAAAACTATTTGTTCTTATTATAAATTAAAGTCACTCCCCTTTTGTAAAAGTTTCAAGAAATTAAATCTCAAGAATGAAACTAACTTTAATTTATAATCCTAACACATTTCAGCCGATAAATCGTGATAAAAACTTTATATAAAATGGAAAATATTTAAAAACGTTTTATTCACAGTTCTGTTGATATAAATATTGCAATAATATTTATTTCCTTTGAATGACACCTACGTAAGTGAATATATAAGTTCAATGTTCTCCTAAATGTTCCCTACTTAGAAAAAAAATAAATGAAAAGAAATGAATCTTCTTAATTTTAATAAATTCATTCAAATTTTTTTCAATAACTTTAATTTAAAAGGAGTTTTTTTAATAATCTAATCCCTCAAAAATAGCGCCTAAGCTCATTTTTTAAAATGAAAAATTATTATTTGACAACAACAAGGAGGGAGCTTTTTATTGTTAAAAATTAATGAATAATAAAACTGGTTTTTCTTCTATTCTAATTTTCCACGTGTAGCACATAAACTGGTTGCTTCTGAAGTTTTATAGAATTATTTCTTCTAGATCTGCCCAGTCTTGGCGAACGCCAATGGTGTTCAAAACCTGTGATGAAACGCTTGGCTAGAAAATTAGGTCATGGCATACAAAACACACGAGTTTTGTTTAAAAATTTTCGGATACGTCGATATCATGTTTGTGAAAATAGTTTCCGCTAATATATTTTAAATGATTAAAATTTAATGTTTTTTCAAATGCATCCTTGAAAAATGAAAGGTTTCTCCTTTTTGTGGATTATTTTAATGCTTTGTTATCCCACAGGAATAGATTAGAATTAAAAAATTCGAATTCAAAAATGGATTTTTAAAGAAGCCATTGTTTGCATTTTTACTTTAAAGTGAGTTCATATTTTACATTAATATTTGTTTTTACTATTATTGTTTTCTCATTATCAGTAATATTATATCTGTTATTGGACATTATTATCTGTGATACTGGGATAAAAAAAATTGACATGACTTAATATCTAGGTTTGAATATAAATTCAAATCTTTTTTTGCATTAACCATTTTCGAGGGTGACTAATTAATGTATGTAAATCTAAACAGAATCGTGACGCAAAAGCTTTAATGTGTATGCAAGGTAATCAAAGTAACGAATATTTGCCACCTGATTACTAAAAAGCTATTTAATTAAATATGATTATATTCGAATTCTAATTAAAGATGCGAAAAAATGTAATTCTATTCGTAGAATGTTTTTTTGAAAATATATGAATCGAAACGAGAACCTTAAAGTTTCAATTGTTAATTTAATTGTTTTAATGCCTAAAAACGAAATTTTTTTCTTCCTAGCTTTTTAAAAAAAAAAATTTCTATTCTAAATTTAATTCCAGAGATTATTAATGATTCGAAATATATATTTGTAATATTTGACGTAATTTAACTCAACAAACAATGCTTTTAACTCTTTCTGTGATTTTTTTAAACCCCATTGTACAATATTAAAATATAAAAGATTGCTTCATTTAAAAATACTTTAACAACTTAATTTTTCCTCAATCATTAAGAAAAAAATCTAAATTTTTTACAATATATCAGTATTTAATTATACAATATATTCAATATTACTGTATTTTAATATTACTTATTCAGAATTTAATAAATTTTTCTAGTAATACCGAATTTTAAGGTATGAACAGAAAGCTTCAAATAATTCTGTATCAAAGGAAATCCAATCTGGATTATTACAATTATAGAAATAATTCATATAAACATATAATTATACTTGAGGATATATTACATATATTATAAACATCTAAACATATTTGGATATTTAAAATGTAAATCTTGGGGACAAAAACTATGATGATTTATTTAAATCGGAGAAAATATAATCTTCAACTTTATATTCGCTTTTATGCACTCGTTCAAATAATTCTAATGTATTATAAATACTGCATATATTCATAATTAAAATTTTACAAACATACCACCTTTGTTAAATTTTTGCTTATTCGTATGTTTTATGAATGGCACAAATTTAATAAAATCATTAAACTCTGAAATTGAAATGAATATTTGGTGTAACAGTATAGGCGCAGTTTAGGGAAAAAATTTATACTTACAATTGTAAACTAAAAATGATAAGTCATGTGTATTTGAATTTTCATCAAAAATATTTTACGATAAGCCTTATAATTCTTTGTTTAAAAGGTGAAGCAATCAATAAATAAGCCTAACAAAATTTGATTTTTTTTAACTTCCTAATAAATTTCGTTATAAATTTGTATTTCAAGTTTAATTACGTTTAAAATTCAAATAAGATACAAAATTTTTCAAATGACACGTCCAACAACTCTGATATTAAAATGAAATACTACAAAAGTAACAATCACCATTGCCCTGAGAGGGTTAAGCATTTAGAGCAGTAACAACACGCTACTGTGTGAAAACTAAGTAGTAGTTCTAATTACGCAATTGCAGCATGTCATGCTTACGTTAAATAAGTTAATTTCCCCTAACATGAGGTGCGATCAATTTCAAGCATAAAAGTTATTTTATTAAAATGTACTTCTTGTAACTAACAGAACAGAAAAAGGTGTTGAAGGGCTGGATGTTAATATACTAGCAAATCAAAAAACGAAGCCATCAGAAATGAAATAGTGGAGGTAAATTTATTATTAGTGTTTTTGTACCGTTTTAATTTATAAAGCAATTTCAAGAAAAATTAAAAATCTATTTCTTCACAATATATATATGTTGTGCTAATGATAAGTGTGTTAGGGGCCGTTCAAAAAGTACGTACACAAAAATGGAGACATTTTAAACCCCTCCCCCCCCTTCGTACATTACCGTACATAAGGTCTTACTCCCCCCCCCTTGANTTTAGAGCAGTAACAACAAGCTACGGAGAGAAAACTAAGTAGTAGTTCTAATTGCACAATTGCAGCATGTCATGCTTACGTTAAATAAGTCAATTTCCCCTAACATGAGGTGCAATCAATTTCAAGCATAAAAGTTACTTTATAAAAATGTACGCTTTGTAACTAAATACGGAACAGAAAAAAGTGTTGAAGGGCTGGGTGTAATATATTGGCAAATCAAAAAACGAAGCCATCAAAAATGAATTAGTGGAAGTAAATTTATTATTAGAGTGTTTTTGTACCACTTTAATTTATAAAGCAATCTCAATAAAAATTGAAAATCTATTTCTCCACAATATATATATGTTGTGCTAATGATAACTGTGTTATACGCTTTTGCTTCTCCAAAAATTAACTAAAGACATGCGAATTTATCTCTTTATTTATTTTTTATCAACTGTAATAAAATTTCAAACGCAACAATGTAGACAAAAATACAAAACAAGTTTTTAAAAAAAATATAAATATATTTTAAAAATGTAAAGGACAAGGAGGGCCTTATAATGCTAAACCACATTTTCAAATTTCTCAGGTGACAGTTTTTGATAAAAGACACCGTATTTTGCATATAGACAAAAAGATATTTCTCAGACTTGTGCTGATAAGTCCTAAAACATAGCTGCCAAATTTTTATTTTATGTTTTTTTCGAGTAGTAACAAAATGATATTTATTGATCAATTTTTTGAGACTTTCTAAATGGTTTAAAGAAAAATAGGAATAACTGATAGATAAGCGATAAAGTGGCAAGAGCTAGCTAAACTAACCCTTTATCTGTATTTGACTAATATTATGTAATATGATATTTTGTGCACCCTGTTTTGACGTAATAATACTTGCCAATATATAGTTCCATTCCCTCTTGATCTTGACGTAACATTTTGTTAGATACGCTTTGACTGCGTCCCGCAGTGTACTTGATCGTAAAGACACGGTTCCCAGTAGAACGCCGAAGTCATGCATCACTGGTTGTGGTCAGTAAGTGGGTGGGTGACCATTTCGATCAGCCTGCGTAGGGACCGAGAGTGTGCGGTATCAGCCCTCTTTAAACTGTTTTACCGTAAAGTGCTCGATTTCACGTGTAGGTCGTCGGGCTACCAAAGCGGAGAAGCCATCCCTTCTGCTGAGGATCAAAATTGCAATGATATTTCTTCGGATCATCCTCATGGTTGTTTCCCAGACAGTCGCCAAAAGCCCATAGTGCAAATCTAGCTCGACGTAAATTAAATACCTACCTACGCCTTTGCAGCATGCTCATGCTAGCAAATAGCATTTAAACAGACATACTACCACTCAGGCCCGGAATAGCCTGGTCGGTAGGACGCTGGGCCCGTGTCCGAGAGTTCATGGGTTCGAACCCTGCCGGCCGAAGACTCAGTAAAGTGACTGATGCACGTTGAATCTGTCGACTCTCAAAGTCCTCCATGTTCCCATTACGAATCAATACCTCTGGGGGTACTGGATTGGAGATCGATCGTTCTCTGATTCAGGTCAAAATTACGATCTGTGGATGAATGAATGGATGTATAAATGAGTCCGCCATATAAACGGGTGTAACGTATGGGTGTGGCAGAAGTCGAATTCTTGGCCATAGATGGCGCCACTAGAAAGCAAGAACAATCGCACCCCCTCTGCCTAAACAGGCATACGTCAACAACCACTCTTCTTTGTTCAGACTAATTTTGCTGACTCATCAAGTCTTATAATTATTAAATAATAATTTACGAGTCTTAAGTTGCCCTTCCTCTACTGGCCGAACTCAAGTATCGAAGGGGTGGAGACTGGGAAGAAAATTCTAAATATGCTTTTAATCCTCTTTATTTAATTTTCGCAAATAAACTGATGATGCATTTTTGCTCCATTTGGCAGTATCTTCCGATACATGAAAAATACAAGACCGAAACCCAATCACAATTTTTGATATAATGCGTGTAGTATTTTAGATTCTCTATTAATTTTTTCTGACAAAATTATGGCAATACAGTTTTGCAATCAATAGTTTTGAATAGGTAGTTAAATAGTATGAAGTTGCCTGTTTTTAGATTTTTGATAAATATCTTTGTTTATATGCAATTAAAATTAAAAGAATTTTTTAGCATCATAAATCGGCTTTCATCAGTTTAAAATATAATAAAATTAAATTTTAAGAAAATATGAAAACAAAGAACCGTGTAATTTTGAAATGACTTATACTCAAGACTCCAAATCGTATCATTGCATTGTTTTTAAGGTTTGAGAAAAAATTCATAGGAGCTCTAAAAATTATCAAACGTCATTTCTCCATTTTAAGTAAAGCAGTATTTCCCAAAGTGTGGTACGCCTACCCCCAGGGGTGCGTGAACAGTTCAGCGAGGGTATACGTTCTTACGCAAAATATCTTACAACAAATTAAAATTTCAAACAAAGCTAGCCTTGAAAATTTACGATTACGTATTTTGTATTGGCTATTTTTTGCTGTGTTAACAGTTAATAATTAGTGGTGCCAACAGCTAGTTATGATTTTTAACTTTTGTGCAATTTTTTTATCACAGCAAAAACAATAACATCCTTCTCACTGATGCAAATAAACTTATTAACAAAACTTTGTACCAAAAAAAAAGAAAAATAAACATATTTTTAAAAAAAGTACATTCACTTTTTTATCAGTGGTACGAAAAATTCAGAAAGGGTACACAAAAGTCATAAGTTTGGGAAACACTGAAGTAAAGCGATGCCTTTATTTTCCACCTTTTCTAAAAGGTATTGTGTTGCCTAATAATACTATATCATCGAAAGTTTATTAAGTACAGAAAAAAATATTTAAAAAAAACTCGAATTAAAAATTTTACCTAAAATTCAAGATGGCGAGCGTAGAGGCCCCTTAACATGTTAGTTTTTATCACTTCATTTTTTAAAGCAATTCAAATATATAAACTTTTAAGATCCTTGTCCTTATAAAACATTTAAATCTTAAATTTCGGCTATGTAAGAGATT